CATTGTCAGCAGCATTCATTGTTTCAGAGCTACATCCTCTCTAAGCATGGTTTCAGTACTATGGGAGTACCAGCAAATTCTCCTCTTACATCCACTTTGCATCACTATTACCACAGAACCAAATTGCTTGGTATATTATCTATATCAGTGTGTTCTTGTAAATTAGAGGGCAGCACAGAGGGTACAGTACATAATTAAATATGCACAGCTGCTGCCAGTATGACTGGGTCTGCCTTCTTCATCATGAGAATTTCTGCAGATCTCAGACAATAGGTTAGTGGGTAAATGAATGTAGGATTTCATCTTCATTGGGTGTTATACATCTATGGGTCTTTGTTGGATACTTGGGAATTTGCAGCTTTTTGTAAAAAAAAAAAAAAAGGAGGGAGGGAGGGAGGGAGGAAGGAAGGAAGGAAGGAAGGAAGGAAGGGAGGAAGGGAGGAAGATGGAGAAAAACAGAGGAACAAGCAGAGAAGGAGTTCTGCGTATCCTAAAGGATAAAGACATCAACTTTGACTGTGAAACAAAGGAGGAGAATAACTAAAATACCCTTCCAAATGTTAAGAAGGTTATTATATTTGGGTAAAATAGTCTTAGCACCCTCACAGAAGTTGCACAATTTAGCTCTCACCATGGAATCAAGGGTTGTTATAAACTCCTTGGATGATCTGCAAGGGTCTAAAATGTTTTTGTCCACATCTGAGCCACTCTCTCTCTCTTTTTTAATCACAGGAGAGAAGTGGAAATATTTTGAGTACATTTGAGTACACTTCTAAATGTACATTTCTAAAATTTACCTCTAAAACAGACAAGAAAAAGCATATACTGAAATTACCAATTTCTTTCCACTGAGTATAGAAAAGAGGCTACAGTGTGCAGGACATCTGTAGTATTTACCTCCCAGATATCTAAATCACAGGAAATGAATTCTGCCTGAAAGACACGAAATTATTTTGTAACTAAATGAGGTGATGGATTCTCGAAGTCATGAAAGGTGCCATAATTTTCTCCCACTCTCTGTTTATCAGGTTTGTTTTAGTTGAAGACCTTGGAAGCAGCAACTCTGCCTTATTTTCCCAGTATCTTATGGTCCAGTATCTACTCCTACTCTCAATTGCTGTGCCGGGTGTCAGGATCACACTATTGAGTAGAGCAGTGACCTGTATGGGTACTGGAGTTGTGTGTTTCATTTATCATTGTACACAATGAGAAGTCTGCAGATTGCTTGGTTTTATACCATTTTCAAGCAGCTTTTATACATCAACTAAGGAAGGGAAATGCAGCGAGTTTCCTGGAGTTTTTGATTTCATTTTTTGCTCATCCTTCTACCTTAGCAGACTATGTTTGAAACACTGACATTTTCTTGAAATTTTTCAGTTGGTTCGTGTCAGTAGAAGCACTGGTTTACACTGTACCTGAGTCCTTACATCTGTTTCTATGAAATGATCTCTGTTGCTGTGGTGTTTCTTCAGTACAGCAAAGCAGTCTAACAATAAGCCATCAGAACCTATGGTTACTAACTCACAGCAATTTCCTGGTGCCATTCCCTGCATGGAGAAAAGTGTAGGGGATTAGTGGAATGAAAATAATCCTTAGCCTTAGAACAACCCACAAGGCTCACATAGTGAGCCTACTTGTAACAGCAATGAGCTCTATTATTAAAGCCCTGTCTCATAATGCCAAATAAACAAGACTTCTGAAATGACTGTCCAACTTCTTGGGGTCACACATTTTTTCACTAGCACAATACTTTTCAAAATGAACACATTTATCTAAAAAAAGCATTATGGAAACACAAGTTTATCAAATTCTTTCAAATATATCTGTCTCAGACTGATGTACTTAACGCATAGGAACTTCTCCTTTTGACACATTGTTTTAAGTTTCTTTCTCCAGGTCCCACAATCAGATTTTTATTTACCTTTAACTTTGCAGTTTATGAAAATTCATTGATTTTACAGTGCCTTTGGAGATATTTTGGAAGTTATTCTTACTGAGTGAATTTCTTTTCTATGTAATATTTAGCTATAGTCAAATTTTCCAGTGTATTAAATACATTTGTTTCTATGTTCTCTGTTACTAGAAGATTAAGCTTTAATTTGCTTTAACTAATAAACCCATTATCCCTCTACTTGGGTGAGTTTATATACATTCCTTGGGGGATTAATTGGTGTGTGCTACCAATTTCTTCATTCCCATGGTTGGCTGTAACAGGATGTAGTCTGCTATTGCAAATGATGCCTTCTGTAATATCATACTCTAGAAAGATAAGGTTTATAACAAGAAGCCATATACTTTATTAGGCCAAGTGTGATGTAGTCAGACAAAACCCCGTAAAAATTCTCTGTCATATGAACTCGTCTTCACATCTGAAATGGAAGCAACATACTTAAAACAAAGCACAGAAAATGGTCACAGTTTAGTTTTGTTACTGTTAATTACTATGATTGAGAGAGAAGGATAGTTAACATCTATGGAGCTGAGGGAGTTGTTAGTAAGGACAGAGGTGATAAGGTCAGTAGCCTCTTGTGAGGAGAGAGAGACACACAGATTATTATTCCCTGTGGAGTCACAAGGGTTAGCAGAAGAGATACTGAAAAAAAAAATCATATAATGTGAGATAAACTAACCTTCTTACTGATTTTATAGTTTTTTACTATCCAGCAGAATAATAAACTTTATATCCAGACTGACCTTCTGAAGATTTACAAATATCAAAAAAGGCCATAACTGTATCACCACCACTGAGTTTCCAGTGTCTCTAAATGACTTCTTACTAAAGCATATTCATGTGCATGCTAGACTTGCCATAAAGACCACTACTTTGTGATTCATATCTCAAAAGAAGATAACAGAAATCACTTAAACCTGAAATTAGGGCATGGAAGACACAGCCTGCAGAAGGGAGGGTTTTTTGTGCATTGGTTACAGAATCTGGTGAATGATAATACCTTCACGTTTGTGGTCATGAAGCCATCCAGAAATATCTAGTCTGGAAATTCAAGATACCTTTCAAAACTTCGCTCATCCAAAGGGATTACCAACAGGCGCTGCCTGTCCAGATAGGTAATTTCTACAGAGACCTACAACTTAAGGAAATTAGAATGACATAGTTTACTTAAATTTCACGTGAACATTACTGCACAGATGCTGTTGAAACACTGAAAAATATTTCATATGCAGTGTTTTTCTGAAGCTTAAAATATTAGCAGGTCATTGAACAAGTGTCTATATCCCACCATAACGTCAATTTATCTTCTGTGTTACTATTGCAGGTGATTATGTAGTCATGACTATATACTTCGACTTAAGTAGAAGAATGGGATACTTTACTATTCAAACATACATTCCCTGTATATTAACAGTTGTTCTTTCCTGGGTATCCTTTTGGATCAAAAAAGATGCCACACCAGCAAGAACAGCATTAGGTAAGTTGTTAACATTTCCCTTTTCTTCTGTCATTGTGATGTTCCTATACTACCATTTGAAAATGTAAACTTCCTTTCAAAGAGACCACTGTACATTTTGGATTATTGCTACTACTTCTTGCAGACCCAGACCTACTTACCACTGAAAAGAAAGAAATTAAAGAATTAAAAGTATACAAGTGTCACCCCTTGGATGACACTGCCACTTATTTTGTATAAATCTCTTGAATTAATATCTGTCTCCTTGTTCTCACTGATATCTTAGTGACATTTTTTAAGAATTAATTAATTGCGCTGCTGGTTCCTTCCCTTCTGAAATTCTCCCCCACAGGGAATTGTGCCTTATATATATACAGAAAACTGTGGGATATAATAGCATTAGCTCATGCAAAGTGTTTTATCTTGCATGCTTGAAATTAGACTCCACACTGGGTATATTGATATTTTTCATAGATTGTGGAGATTTATGGTGGTTTAGGTTTTCCAGAAACCCATTTATGTCAGGACCATCCTTTGCACTTTGGTAATGTGCTTTAGAAATGTTGACTTAGACACTTGGAAATTTATTCTTATATCTGAGGAAATCCTTAAGGTTTTGCCAGCATTAAGGATACAAGGCTATATAAGTGCTAATTATAGGTATACATCAGAACCAAAGGAAAAACAACATCGTTGTATTCAGGTTGTGGTTGCCAGGTCTGCCTATGCAAACTGATTCAGAAATCTATCAGTCTAGGAAAAAAGCAGAGGCTATGTCAAGGTTTGCATGTCTGTTTTCAAGGATAGAGGTTACCATTCCCAGCTATCGATTGCATCCTTCTGCTGGAGTTTGTTACCAGGTGAGTCCATTTTTCTGGAGTTATTTTACAAGAAGGGAGTATTCAGTCCTCACTTCTTCCATATGAGTGCCAAAGTGCTGTTACACCGTGGCTCCAGCAACATGACAGATCCTAAGACTGACAGTTACTCTGTGACATCCAGGACAGCAAAAAGACCACAGTGCAGCTGTACAACTGCCTGTTTCTGGCTGCATAGACTTGCTTTTGATAGCCAGAAAATTGAGCAATAGGTCTTCAGTGTACTTCTTTGCTGAACTCCTTTCTTCTTAAATTGGGTGACTCAGGGGAGGTAAGGAAAGACTGACCATGCTCCATCTTTTTAAACAGGGAGTCTGAAGCCCCATGCGTGGGTAGAGTTGCAGAGCATCCATTTGGGTTATTCTTCTTAATGCATAAGGCAAAAGAGACGAAAAGACATCTAACAGTTTGCGTTACTGATTTGCCATAAGCAGCATTCATATCCTGTTCCTGAGTGTGATTCCCCACACCACACAGCTCAGTTTTCCAACTTATTAGACACAGAAGTAGGTTAGATCACGAATCACTACAGTGTGACTCTCCCTGGTTCACCCCCTCAGCCAGCAAGAAGTTCAGACAAAACATGTATTCAGATGTAGTCATGAATTTGAAGTAAGAACATAAAAATGAGTTCTTCCAAGGCTATACTCAATGGATATCATGACAGTACTAAATCTCCAATGGAGAACTAAATTTCTAGCCTAAAATATAACTTTTCTATAAATGAAGTGAAGTAACGAATAAATAATATATACATGGGTCACTTTTTCTGCACGGAGTCCTATTGTTTCCAAATTAGCAATAGGCTGTTGATTCCTGAGATGCAGTAAGCAGATGTGCCTATTTTACTGTAGGCCTACTTGTATAATGCAAGTTATAAATCTGTCTGAGAAACAACACATATTCACATTTGGATAGTGGCACATGGTGAAATTGTGAGTAATTCAGCCAAAGGCAAACTGCTAAAATTTTCCTACTAATTAGTTGAAATTAATTGTTGACTCCGTGCACCAAACCTTATCCAAGTATAGCTGCATTAATGTAAAGGGTAGCACTAGGGAAATATTTCACTCTCTGAAATTAATGAATAACTTCCTAAGGTATTGGCAAATACTCATGGTTATATGAAGGACAGGTTTTACTTTCTGAATAAAGTTAAGTAATAAACTACTTCTCTGCTAGGGAAAAAAAAATTATTTTGCGTATGGGACTATAAGTACCCTTTCAGCAATACTGTCCAGAGGCATCAAAGTGCTCTTGGCATCATAGTCCACTTTTCATATGCACTTTGAGGGACTGAGGTCCAGAGTGCAATCAGACTAACTCCAGGCCACCTGAAGATTCAGTGGGAAAATGAAAGTAAAATTTGAGTTTTGGATGAGAACTGTGTTTTGTGATCCCAGGTTATTCTGCTGTTCATTCAAAGATGGGGGAAAAAAAGACTCTCTTCACTATCTACTTGTCTCTATTAATCAAAATTATCTTCTCACGATGTTCACAGTGAAGAACAGCCAGCAAGTGTCTGAAAGAAAGTTATGAACTGGAAAAGAATAGGTTATTTTCCTTGAAGAGGAAGGGAATTAAGTTAAACTGAAGCTTTCATCCCAGTTTCCCCCTACTTTTCAAATTGGATGTAATGTGTAATAGGACCAGGAAGTTACTACAGAGCAAATTCAAACTGCAGTTTAAAAAGGCTTTGATGCAGTAAGTATACCTGCATCATTTGACCTCCCGGATGGTAGTTTTTGTTTTATCAAATAGCATCTTTAGTGTGGAATTTACTCAGAGAATATAATGTACTCAGAGAACAAAATTGTATTTATACAAAAACTTGTAAGCTCACGCTTACACTTTCTGTCTGACAATTCTGAAGTTAGGTTACTTCAAAGCTGTCCTTGGATGATATTAAAATTCTGTTGAAATAGACAGTTTATGAGCACTGTGAATTTCAATACCAAATGCAAAGCTCACTTTGCCATACGTGACTTCACAAAGTGAGAGACCTACCAATTTCATCTGGCAAGGCTTATTGCATTTGAAATCACTCAACAAACTGAATTTTCTTAGCATGAGAGATAAAGTGAGCTAAGAGCATGGAATCTAGATATTATATTTGGAAATAATGGTGTTGCATTTTATTCATACATACTGTGATGGTTCGGACTTGGCTCCCTGCCAAATGCCCAACCCCCCCCAGTAGCAGCCACTCTCTTCCCCTCTTTCTACTTCCCCCAGGGCAAAGGAAAAAAACTATGCAAATTGAAGAACCTGAAAATCAAGCTCGTTATATAAAAAAATATATTTTATGTATATTACAGTTAAGATGCTATGTACACAGCAAACGGGAATCCAAACACCCCCCGAAGGGATAGGGAAAGGGGAAAAAGGGACAAAAGGAAACAAAAAGGGACACTGAATAGATATGCACAATCAAATCCGAGAACTAGTAAAATAACTAGTAAAACAAATCTCACCACATCCCTTAGAAAGCAGGATTGGCAGACACTGCCAGCACTCTGCAAGCTTCCACGTGGCAGGTCAGTGGATGCTGCAGGCCTCAGCCTTAGATAAGCGAGACCAGTGCAGGGACCCACTGTTCCCAAACCTCGCTGGAAGAGAAGAAGAAACTAAGGCCTCCCCTCTTATTTACACCACGATTTACGTAAAAATTGTATGGAATACTGGGAACACTGCCCCTTCCTTGGTTACAAACTGGTAACCAGGGAAGGCCTAGATTAAAACCACCACACATAAATATCTATATTCTGACTTGTAAATGTACAGGAATATGAAACTGTATCATCTGGTGCCCCTTCTTTCCCTTTCTTCTCTGTATGTAACCCCATAAACTAATTTTAATATTTTAAAATCTGTGCCAGTGTGCTAGATATAAAACTGATGCACTAGATAGAATTTTCATTATTTCAAAAACTCAATGTTTGTTAATGGTGTAAGTTGGAATCCAGTCTCAAGCATGATTTGAGCTGGTGTTTCATTCAGGCTTAAGGCATGGATATAGGATGCAGGCTAAGTTGAGGACTTAAATACTTAAGCGCAAAGGCTAATGGTAATTATTTTTTCACTTCTCTGCATTCCTGTCCATGGTCACTTTGGAAACTGGTCATAATTACAGATACCTGCACAGATAATGCAAAGTTATACCTCCATTTTAGTAAAAAAATGAAGAAAAATATTCCACTATCGATACAACATTCAGAAATATTGCAGACCTTTCAAAAATGCTTTTGAGCACTGCAAGCTTTCTTCTTCTTTTTTTTTCTTTTTAGCCTTTTAATAAAAACTGTCCTAGCACTGGATGAGTGAGAAATAAAAACTTTCATTTGAGCCCAGGTAAACAGGACACTGTATACTGTACTGGAAGAACTCGATGAGTTTTGAGCAATTTTTTAAAGGTAGTAAAATACCTGAAGACAGATGTATGTACCTGTGGCTCAGAAAAGGACAAATCTGCATTAGAAATCTAAATGTGGGTTAGAAAGTCTTAAAGAAGTTCATTTTATATTTTAGAGTGTTCCATGGTCTGGATGCAGGTCTTTAGAAGTTGGTGACTCCCAAGGCCGTCCAGAAAGACTAACAGCCTATAGTTAGTAAGGGCTGAATCAAGGCCAGTGAGTCAACACCTTTTACAGTTGGACATCTTTGCAGCTGTCTACCATGATGAATGCCTAAGCATGGTCTTTATCTCTGGAGCTTTTTCAAAGCATCAGCTAGCTACAGAACTAATGTTGTGAGGTCTGGAGAGGTTGCTGGATCATGGCAGCCACATCTGCTGATTTTGGGAGGTGGCACAGGTGTCAGTAAATGGAAATATTTTCCCAATAGCTTTTAGAGGTTCAAGGTACACACACAGTCCATACTTCTCACTTTCTGTCAGCTTTGCTTTAATCTTGATTACTGACTTGTGGGTTTTTTTCAGAATTTTTTTGTTAGTTTGTTTCTAGATGAGGGATATTTAAGGAATTCAATTACTTATTATTCATTGTAGAAGAAAGTTGAGACCTGGGTAGTAATCTGCCTTCTGGCTTTTCCAGGGAATTTCTGTTGATTTAAATGAAGAGAGTTATTCTTGTGAATCACTGTAGCTTCTATCAAATGTTACAAATCAGAGAGGGTCAATCCTTCATAAAGAGAAAGTAGTCAAAAGTAATCCACAGGTACTTCTTTCTCTCCAGAGTGCTCTTTGTGAGAAGTAATTTTACAATAAGGCATAATCTTATTCAGCCCGTGACATTTCCAACACTGTGCACCATTGTGAAGTATCACTTTAACAATAAAAAAGAAAGATTACCTTATGGTTATGTTGTTTGCAAAGCAGGTTCTCTCTTGAGATGTATTTGAGTGAGAGCTTTATATTTTTTCCCAAGCCATTGAGAAGTTTTAATTTTTTTTCTATTGTAAGACTTACAGTTCACAACAAATGATTAGAAGTATCAGTCCAAGCTGGGAATGAAAATGCTTCTGTTCCTCAGGAATTAAGAGAAAAATATATGAATTACTGGAACTTAAATAACTGACATGACATAGATTTAATTCTAGGACTGGTTTTATTGTTTTAGATATTTCACACTAATTAATTCCCATTATGTTTGTTGTTACTAAATTACTAATTCTAAGACGTGATGCTTTGTATGAATTAAAAAGGCTATTTCCATTAATGTTACATCTGAAATTTGCATGAGTCTTAGACTGAGCAAGTGATATTGAGTTCCCTTAATCAGAAGGAAAATAGCAGTGGAGGTCTCCCAAAGAAGCAGTGGTGTGAAAACATACTTTCAGAATTCATGGTCAGACCTTTGCAGCAAAATTTCTGTTCTTTTCTCCCTCTACCTCTTTTCCTTTTTTTTAGTACATGATTTTTAATGAGAGCAGTACTATTGTGGAATAGAACATATTTCCTTCATTGCTTTCTAGTTTTCTTATTTTTTTACTTTTCTGGGTTTGGTGTCTTTTCTGTTTTATACTTTTCTTCAAAAAGTTCATTCTCTCCTTCTCCCTCACTCCCATGTACAGTCTCACTGGGATCAGGAAAAGGACAAGATGAAGAGCATACTGAGAGGCATTTGAATGTCACTTTTGCAAAGATGAAAATAAAATAAGCAAATCTTTGTTTACAAAATAACATTGGCTCTACTGATGTTATTTTATTTTTAATACTACTAAAGGAAATTAATTGATTACTTGGGTACATTCTGGATTTTTTTAGTTTGTTTATTTCCAAAGATTGTTCTGTGATATGGATAAATGATGTTGCATACAATTAAATCGAGTTTCTCTCTGCAGGCATCACTACAGTATTGACCATGACAACTTTGAGTACCATTGCAAGAAAGTCGTTACCCCGTGTCTCCTATGTCACCGCTATGGATTTGTTTGTGACTGTATGCTTTCTATTTGTCTTTGCTGCTCTGATGGAGTATGCCACGCTCAACTACTACTCAAGTTGCAGGAAACCAAGCTGTACTAAGAAGAAAAAGTCGGTAAGATGGGAGCATTTAAATTTCTTTTCATATGCAGCTCAGAGAGCAGATAATCATTCATTGGTAGCCTATAATGCCATGACACTCCACTCCTCCGAGATTTTCCCTGTTTCTGGTGTGATCTGCCCTGAAAGCTGATGAAAGAGTTACCTGCAGTAACAGTAGAAGCTGTTACGTGCCTGCTCAGATACGTCTGTTCCTAACTGAAGCGGCCCGCTGACTACAAAGCAGCAACCCTACCTATGTGTCTTTTGTCCTTATTAACTGTGCTGGTAAGCGTAAAGGGCTCCCACTGGAACAGATTGCAAAGCTTGTTATACAAATCAAGTGTACAATATACACACCAGTATATATTGAATCCATTGCTATTTCACGGCTTAGCAGGTCTAGAGATATTTATGAACTTCACAAACAGAATTTCCATGTCTCTACTGGGAACTAACACTTGATTTTAGCCCTGCGCACAAAGGCACATGTTGCCAAAAAAAAAAAGAGGTCACTATACATGGCTGAATTTTTGGCAAAAAAAACACTTCCAAGTGTAATACCCAGAAACACACAAAAGCTGTTTGTTTGCAATAAATTAAAACAATCATGAAAGAAGAATCGCCCGGTATACTTCATAACTATGAAGTATGAGAATGTGAGGGAGCAGTTTAATAGAGAAAAAAAACACAGTGTAAACAAAGGGAAGGGGATTCTGCACTCGAGATCAGCGAACACGTCTTATCTCTTCAAGATCAGTAATTGAAGATGTTGGATGCAATTGTGTATAATGGAGGAAATCAGGACATTTGAAATCGGAATCAAAGCCAAATAGGAAAAGTGTGAAAGAGGAAGGGAGAGAAATCTAAATTTAGGGAATAATAGGTCATGAGATAAAAAGGGATTGAATGAAGTGCTATAGAAAATGATTGAATGAAGAACTAATGAAGGAAAAGCTGAAAGAAATACAGGATCAGAAAAAGCCTAGAAAGCCACAGGCTTAGTCAATGAAAACTCCATTAAACCTATAATAGCTTTTTGTAAAAATGTGTTGCACACAAGAGGCAAAAGAGTGTTACCAAAGGAAGAGTATGAGACAATCAAAATGAACTTGCTAATGATCAGACTAAAGTTACCATCCTTTAGAAAGACTGTATTAGAAACTCATGAGTATCTGTTAGTAGGATGCATTTCCAGACATGAATGAAGATGAGGGAAAGCATACAGAATTGATGGGATATAAATTAATACCAGAACAAATGCTCACTTAGCTATTGTTTGACAGATAAATAAATGTAATGATCTGAGAAAAGATTTTAACTGTATGGAAACTAGGTGCACATTCTGCTGAGGTTTCAAGTTTTCAAGTGTACAGATTATTATGCTGAATATACAGAACAGAAAGCATTAGGTCTTTTATGAACAAATGCATTGATTCAAGTAATGCTATTGAACTTAGATGCGTATGAAGCGATCGATAAGTATGTTTTCTTCTGAATAATTCTTTTGTTATCTTTATTTAAGCTACCTGATGTAAGTTTTGGTCATGTGATGGTAAGTAAAATACATTTTTCAGCGAGAGCATTGAGGTCATGAATGTGTGGTTGACGTTTACTTGCACTAATTCCTGAGAAAGCTGTATTGCTATGTTTTGCTTTACCGTGACTTCACTATAAATATTGTTTTGGTAAAAGGTCAGTTTGTTTTCAGCTGTGGCACAACAACATAGCTGCCTCTTTCTATAAGAATTTACCAAGTGATTTGGGAGGGAGAAGAGTCAAGTGTAGAACATTGTGTGCTATTTTTACATCAGGAATTTTTTGTGCCCGCTTTATATAACACTACAGTTTCTTATTATATTTTATAAAAAAGTAATAAGCCCAACTTATGCCATAAACTTATATAGAGTTTTAACTATGTGTCATCGAAAATAGCTCATATATGCTTATCTGCAGAATCTTTAGCAAGCTTGCAGCTGGAGTTTCAAATAATTTAGGCACACAAGTTAAATACAGTTAGCTGTACTATATCTAGAAATGAAATATGTACAGCAGCAATAAACTTGAAACAGAGCACAAAATAAGTGTCTGTAAATTGTATGAAATTTGAAACTGAAATGTATGTTATAATACATACAAATATAAAGCATGCAGAAACATACAGAAGGAGCAGTTAATTAGCTGGTTGAATGTTAAGTTATCAGATAAGAACAGAGTCAGAACCAAACCACTGTTTTTTTGCATTTCTTGGTTGGGATATGCCGAAGTTTATCATTTACAACCGCTAGCTCCGCAACACTAGCCTATCTTTTACAAATAATGTTATACAACTTTTTTTTTTTTAACTTGAGTTTTCTGATGTATTTGAAGATCTTGTATAGCTTTGAAAATCTGCTCATTGAAAATGGATGTTGTACAGCTTGTTGTACAAGCATTGCATTTATACGATCTCTGCTGATGTCACTCCCTTGACAGAGTTTTCTGAAAGATGAAGTTAAAAGGCCACTTTGAATGGGTAGTGGCACTTTACTTTTTACAGTTAAAAATGATGAGGAAAAGGTACACGGTTAAAATTACATTAGGGTTTAACAACCTAGGGTTTAACTACTTAGTCTGATTTTCTTGGAAAGTATCTCCAGCATTTTCAAATTTCTTACTCACTCTTTTCTTTTCTTCACCATAAGACAGATACTGAGCAGGGCCTCTTTTTTATACATAAACAACTTCTGTGTTCAAATTATAGCTTAAATTGCTGAAAGAGGCAGTGTCTCTGGCTATTAAGATATCATTTTGTCTTTTACAGCCTTGTAATGGTGACACCTAAAAGGTGAAATTTGCTAATCTTAGTAAATCCATGTTCAGGTAATCCCACCCCCTTTTTTTCCTTCTGGAGAACACACTTATATCTTGTCTGAAATAATGGTATTAAGCATGTTTAACGCTCCATCTGAACTGCCTTGTCCATGGCAGACCACCAGGGTGGGACTGGACTCATGCCCACTCCGCGTGCACTATTCTCCTACCAACCCAGCTCAGCTGAATATGCAGAAGACAGTGAGGACTGTCCACCCTCTCCTGGTATCTTGTCACCTCAAGACACCTCCTAGCTGACAGAGATAAAAACAACCAGATTAGTCTCTCTGTATTATCAGGGCATTTATTTTATCTTCTATCATGAGCAGATAGTTGATATAAAAAACAACAACAAAACTTCCCAGGCTATTGAGAGATGAGAAAGTTTCCTTTGCAGACCCAGAGTACTTATTTATCTTAATTTACCAAAATCTTACTTAGCTTTTTTTCTTTTTAACATAAATATTTTAGCCAGGCATGGAAAATTTCAGTCCCTGAGTAGGAAATTTTCATAAGACTCGCAATAAATTTATAATATATTACCCAGTGGTATAGCAGAATTCCATGTATACTCTAGTCATAGTTTTTTTTTCTCCTCAAAGTGCTACAGTCAAAAAAAGGTTGCTTATGCAATAATCTTAGACCTTTTTCACCTGGCAACACATTGTAAGACTCTGAAATCATACAAATGATAGAGAGGACCATAAGGGTGTAATTTCTGTCATCTAATCTGAGAGATACAGCGATTCACAACAAATAGATTTGCTATACTCTGCTCCTAAACTGCAATCTGCTTCGAATCCACAGCAAAATGCACCTGAGAGATTTTAGCCATTTACTTATGATGAAATGGATTGTGTCCAAAAGTAATTGACTGGATTCCATAGGGCAGTTGTTCAGATGCAGTTGTCTATGTTGATGATGCCAACACATAAGCAGAGAGGTGCCACATCAAGTTCTTTGCTCAGGGACGAGCATTTTTAGTGAGATGGGTAATATTACAACGTGCCAAACCAAAAGATTTGTAGAAAGAAAATGAAGTCAATAGAAAAATAAAAATTTCCACTGAGGCACATCAGTCATATCACTGATGTTTTTCACATCCAGCATGAAGGTTTTCAGATACACACTAACACCTTCGACAGGAAATGCTGAATACTTTGTACAGTAAGCGTGAAGGCAAGGACCCAGAGCATCCTCCTGAGTGCAAGCAGTTGTGACTAGCTTGTTAGTGCATAGCCAGCCTGCTCCTGCAGGCAAAGGCAAAGCTCAGCACAGTCACAGGGAGAGGAAGGGCACCCAAGGTAGAGAAAACTATGCTCACAGGGCTGGTGTCTGCTTTGTCAGGGCGGTGCAAACAGGCAGCGAAGCTGATGGGACCTTTTCTAGTGATGTCAGTGGAGGAGGTGACAGTTGTGAGGGTGGAATGGGTGGCTTAATGAGAGGGGAGACTATTGTGAGAAAGCATCTTTCAGGAAAAAGAAAATTATATGACAGAAAGCTGACAAAGTGTAGATAGGGAGTACATAGAAGAAGGAGAGGTTTGTAAGCATGAATGGTACTTGTGAGGATGCATGATTATCAAAGTGTCTTATTTCTGAGCATGGTTAGTGTGATAAGCACTAAGGGGACATGCCTAGGGATAGCATTTTGAAATCCTGTACTGAAATGTTCACTACTTGTTGCTTATCATTTCTGGTTTTATAAATCATGATAAAGTTGAGGCAGTGAATGCATCTATGCTAAGTGAAGGTCATTCTATAATTAAATGGAGAAGGGGGATATTTCCTTATTTTTCAGAATCCATTCTTAAATGTAGTGGCTGAAAATGTTTAAAACAACTTGCAAATAATATTCTGACAAGTAAGTGAACTCTTCAGTGTGAAAAAAATTATTACTGGGAAATATATGCTTAAGTGACAAAAGTAGAAAATATACCTAGAATTATTTAACTTGCCACTCCACAGTATCTTTACAGAATTTCATCTGAAAAGGCATCTTTTGAGGGAAAGAAAGATGCTTCTTAAATCTAGAACTCTTAAATATTGACCTCTTATTCTCAGTTCCTGTAATTTTTCCTGTGATTATTAATTTTGATCTTCATCATCCATGAAAGCTTATCAAACTGTTGTGGGGTTTTTTTCTCTCCTCAGAATTATTCTGTACTTGATATGAGACCACCAACTACAGTCATCACATTGAACAATGCCATGTATTGGCAAGAATTTGAAGATGCCTGTGTCTATGAATGTCTGGATGGGAAAGACTGTCAGAGCTTTTTCTGTTGTTATGAAGAGTGCAAATCAGGCTCATGGAGGAGAGGACGAATTCACATAGACATCTTAGAACTGGACTCTTACTCCAGGGTCTTTTTTCCTACATCCTTCCTGCTGTTTAACCTGGTCTACTGGGTTGGATACCTCTATCTTTAAATGTTGCCTGTAGCGGTGAAGACTGCTGTGTTTTCTCACTGTGGAGGGATGGTGAAAGTGCAGACAAAATGAAGGACATGGTCAGTTTCATCTCAAATTATAAAGACATTAACCTTCACCTTCTTCATCACCATCACAGAGCCTGATGAAGAATTTTAATATGTCATTTCCTGAAAAAGAAAAACGTGGAAGAATTCTCTCCAAACTGCTATTCATTTAAAGGAAAAAATTCTTACAAAATTCAGCTGAATTTGTAGTGTAAGTGATGGTTATGAACAATTAATGTATATTAGAATCTCTACTATTCTCCCTTGGCATAGAAGCTATTCACAATTCAGGCAGAGAATAAATATGTAATTTTTATTTTTCATTCCCATACTTTCTTCAAATTGCTGTCATATCTCTGAGGCTCAGAGCAATGTACACTGGTACTGGTAAGTAAGCCAAAGCCAACAAAACAACTAATTTTTATTTAAATTTACTTGAGCTTTATCCCGTAGGCTTTGGGAAATATTTCATTAGTGATCTCCTTGATACAGAGTAGAAGATAGCAGAGAAATGTCTCTGGTGGGATCAAAACATGAACATTACTTTCTGCAAAGGTCTGGGATTTGTGGAATCAGCCTACACATATTGATTTTAACTTACAGGTGAAAAGGCAGAGTGGTAAGAAAGCTATTATTTTGATATAAATAAGACTTGCCTATCTCTGAGGCAGCTGTAGGCATAACTTCTACAGTTTTTCAAGCTTTTAACTGTCTTTTTTATGACTGGTTAAACACAGGATTGTCACTGATTCCTAAAGTACTCTACTTGAAGCAGGACAAGATTCCTGCTTGTTTGTGTCATTGTAGCAGGTCACAGTTGATAGCCCACGAGTAAAAATCACTATATACTAGCACCAGGAACATGTGACTTTCTTTGGATTTCAATTTACTAAAAAGTGCACCTATGCATTTTTATTTTTTCTCTCAAAGTTGTTTCACAAAATTGAAAAGTGTGTGCCAAACGATTTTTTTTTTTTGTTCATTTAATAAAGTTAAACACTGCAGTTTTTACTCATGGCAGTTGTTCCCTGGGTCTGAGATGAAGACCAAACACTTTTTACTTGAATAGTGCATTACAGGAACTCAATTGTGACACTTGGATTAAATAAGGAATAGTTACCATGCATAGAAGGAAGTTGCTTTCATTCTTCTCCTAAATTTTCAACTCTATTTTACTGTAAAAAGCAATTTTGTATTTTTCAAGCTTTTGACCATTAAATTCTTGTTACCCATTCTTTAACAACTAGTTTTACAGTGTTAATCTAGATGACATCTTTTACAGAATGTCTATGTAATTGTTATTAAGCAAACAAAACAGATTCAGAATTAAATAGAAATAGCTTTTCACTACTTTTGGATGACACGTAGTTACAAAAGATTGAGGTTGAAACATGCCTAAGACCATAATTCTATTTATTTTCTCTCCTGGAGATATTTTCTTTTTATATTCTGAAAAAATGTTTGCCTCTTCCACATAGTATTTGATAAAAAAATGAATGGTGGATGTGATTGAAGAGGAGTTCCTTTTCTTCCTCACAAGCAAAACTCTGCAAAAAAGCAAAAGCTAATGCAGTGGTACTTCTAAGGGAACAGAAATGGTGTCATGTTCTTTGAAACATCGCTGTCAGTCATTGCTGTTGCTCTGTTCTTCCAGCGAGTTTTTAATTGAAAAAAGTCTAATGCAAAAGTTAATCGTAGTTACTCAAAATCTTCTGGTTTTCACTTTTCTGAAATATCAGAGACATAGGTGGGTTTAGGTTAGGGAGGGGAATCACTTCTGTAAGGACTGACAAAATTCATATTAGAAGCACAGAGAAGAAATATTTGGAGGCAGGATCTAAACCTTATTTTTAACAAAATCTGCCCATTCAGGTGTCTTCTAAGCCAACAATAACCTCCTGGTTTCAAAACGTATGGTGAAGATTAGCAAATTACTCTGTAAAATCTATTGCTCTGTAAACCTCTGTGTCCTGCACTTGCAAGTATGGATTTTATCTAAGAATGAAAGTGATATTTTAGGCAGTGCAAGAAGGGGATTGAAGTTGAATATACTGATCTCTAATTATGAATAAATCAACTCTAATAGTCACCCTCAGCCGTATTTTGAAATAATATTAGAAATATTCCAAGACTAAATAAAAAAATAAAAACAGTTTTCTTTTAGGGGGCTGATCCTGTAAACCCTCTGCACAATCAATTGGTTTTGGTGTTAGCATTGAGAAAAATGACACACAATAAGGTGCCTTCCACCATTAGATCTTGAACAGCTAAAGTGAGGTTTATTTAACACTTGCATATTTGAGTGAATGCCCCGAGAGGAAGTGTGTAAGGGGAACATTCCCGCTTTAGATGATGAGCATAACGTTTTCTTACACTCCTGCTCATGGCTGCCCATGAGTGCTGTTGAAAGCATGTAGTTCCATCAGATCTGTCCTTGGAAGACTGATTCTGCTAAGTCCAGTCATATTGCCTTTGTTTCCTGAGTATTTTCATAAACAGATATTGGAAGCATATAATTCCAATTTTTTTTCCACCGTCCTAACCAAGAAAGAATCGCAGAAACTTCTGGCTTCTGCTTTTGTACTGAAAGCAGAAGATATATTCTACTGTGTCATTTATTCTACTTTGAGGTTATGTGCAAAAAATTGATTTATGTGCAAGCTAAGTGGCTGCAGGCTGGCAGGTTCCTGAATCCATTCCTCTGCTTATTCCTAGTTACTTGGTTAACTCTCACTGCCTTACTGCTCCATGCTTTGGCAGCCATTGGTAAACCTTAGAGTTCAGGGGAGATAATCTTTCTAGGCTCTGAATCTTTCAAAATGCAAGTATTCTAGAGTCCTAGATGTGGTCTGTATATATCTATATGCTATATCATTCTGTAGTAGTAAGAATGTCCTCATTAACCTTCAAATATTCTTTTGCTGCTTTCACAAATTAAGAAAAAAAAACCAAACCCAAACATTTTTCTGCACTGTCCAATATGAAGTTCAATAACTGCATTTTTGAACATTTTCTTAGTGGATAATTTTATATTCAAGACTTGTATTTACTCAACTTGTTTTTTTTTTGTTACTTACTTCTTCATTTTATTCTTCCAAGGAAGGAAATGGAGGAAGGCAAAAACAAATGAGCAGTGAAATGAACACATCTGAATATATACGTAAAATCACAAATCCAAGTATCTTCACATTACATTCCTTCCTTGTTGAAGTTACAAAAAAGAGTGTGAGGATTTTTTTTCCAGGAGGATCTAAAGTCAATCCTCATATACTCCTCTTTCAATTAAAAGTTGTTGGACAGTATTTTCCTGCACTGAGGGCAGCATTTTCAAGGCAAGTAAGAATGTATAAAAATACTGGTCTTCATTCAATCTTCTTAGTTCTTCTGGCCCTCATACTGAAAGCTCTATCTCTTATTCTTCCAAGAATAAGGATATAAAAACTTGTAGCCAGTTTATGATGTCTCCATGTCCAGCAGTAATGTGGAACTGAAGTGCACCACACACCACAAAATTTTAATGTAACTTTCTAATCAAAAAGTATGGATGCAGTTTAAAACACCATAGGCACTTTGATAACCTTTCTTCTCTTTCAGATGCTAATGTTCTGCTTAATCAACTCTTAACTGTATATTGGTATATTGTGCATACCAATAAAAATGATAAAAATTACAAAACCCAGAACTGTCTTCATGGAGACTGTGATGAGTAGTGAAGCTAAAAGAAGAGAAATAAATTATTTTTTATTGCTGTGCGGTTCTTATCTGTCACAGTCCTTTTACTCAATTCAATCCACAGCTAATTCCAAATCATCCACCTGGAGGTTTGCACATTCATCAGCTGGAACAGCAATGACACACGAGCCTTCAGTTGAGAGAAAATGATATTTTTGGAACTCGAGGCATCCTGCCAAATAACTGAGATAGCTATCTTAAACACTTCTGCAGCCCTAATGTGTCTCAGTGTCTAGCATTTCATGTTGCTGCATGAATTTATCACAACTCTCCTTACTTGATCATTTCATGAAAGGAAGTTTGTTTGCCTCCTTTCAACACCAGATTTTACCATACATCTAGAAAAATTACCCTCCTGCCCATGCACCAAGCAATCAGGTGCAAGGGAGCTCTGGAGCTGCTGACTTTGTGGGGAGACAGACTCAATATTTTAAAACAGACAGATTTCATTAGCCTCACGGTCTGGAGGGTTGGTGTTACCTTCTAAGCTGTAAAACAAGGCACCCATTGAAAGCTGTAAAGGCTGTCCATAACAGACTGTACTCTTTCCATTGACTGCTCTTTCCTGGCTTTGATACAATGCACTAAGAAAAGACAAGCTATATCCTATAATCTTAGTTGCCTACACAGTCAGATGTGTTTTTTTCAAGGTATCTTCTTTCTCACAGTGAAATCTTTGTGCCTCTTACATCAGTGCCTTTATCATTTCTTAATATTAAAGGATATACAATTCCTCATCTGAGAGTTAGAAAGAGGGGCAGTGACCTTGCTGAAGTCTTCTTGAGTACCACAGTGTGTGGCCAATATTTTAAACATCTTCAGCCTATGGACTGAGTATTTGTCTGCTTTTTCTTTATTTTTCTAAGTAGCCTGTAGGTTTCTTATTTCCTAAACATTAAGAAAATTGCAGTAAGATTTCAGCAATTTAGAAGAATCTTTCCTTCTTCACTCAGCAACTTCATTTCACCAAGAGATAGAGAGATTAAACTCAAGGCTGATGTTTACCTCATCCAGATAAATTTCCAGAAAACTATTTATAATAGGAAAAAAAGCAGACTATTCACTGGGAATGCAGTTCTACATCTGAAAGGTGAGATTCTTTTTCCTTTAGATGTTTTTTCTTTTTCTGAGTTAATTTTAGATCTTTCCTCCCTCCACCTATACAAATGTCAAGCACAAAATTAGCTCAATTTACACTTACATACTGAAAAAAAGTATGGTTTCATTATTCTTATACATTTTACATATAGTCTAGGAAAATTCATTATGAAGTTCAGTGCATCAGAGTTGGACCTCTCTACTTTCTATCAAAACATGCATTTTGATCCTCTAATCATTTGTTATTTATGAAGGATAAGCAGAAGATGTGGTTATGTTTATTCATATGTCTAGGAGTAGGCTTTCTCAAGGACTAAACCAGGCAAATAAGGCACTGATACAATCACTTACTTGCCAGGTATTCAGCAATCTAGGTAATGAATGGCATTAGAGAGCACACAGCAGCCTCTTTGGTGTCACAAAAGCACTCACGTAACTTTACTTGGAGCCCTAAGCCAGCCCGTGGAGCCTTTTATAGGGGAACCCAGGTGCTCCCCTTAGTGTTTAATACAGCACTTAATATTCTCCTAGTGTCTCTTTATCTTCTTGCAGCCTGTGACAGTGCTTGGGAGAGACGAAGCTGTACTGACTTAATATACGCTAAAATACAAAGAATGAAATATTCACAGTGAGGCTGATGATGGTTTGTTATGATGATGGCTTGTTGAGATTGTGTTATGATTACAAGTTTTAAAGAGAAGACCACGAGGTCTGAGTCAAAGCCTTGCACATTAATGAAGACCATGAACCAGAACGGGGGGTTAAGTTCAAATATTCTTACAAGAAAATAGAAAGAGCATTGGATCATATTCTGGAGGGGTTGATAATCCATTGACTGTCTTCAAAACTAAAGGAGACTAGATATGTAACCTAAGTACTTAAAGTGAGATTTGTGATTTACATGCCTAAAGTGAGGACTAAAACAGGTAAATGCTAAAATTTCTAAATTGCACGTTAATATGAAATGGATTAAGTGAATAATATGGATGGCATATGTTTAAAAAAAACTGCTGACAAATGAGTATGGAACAAATCATGCTACTGAATCCATCCCATGCTTACAGACCACCTGGGATACTTAATATGCGAGTGACTACTGAACTCATGGAAAACTGATGAAATAATTCCATCTGACTGTATTACACAGGCAACCCAGGGATGTATGCCTCTGCTAGACACGGTGCTCCAAAGGAAAATAAGCTTCCATAAAACAGTGTTCATCTGAACAACAGTCAGAAACCTTGTGCAGAGAGATTACAGCATCAGTCCCCCATATTCTCTTTTGCAGTGATTAAGGAGTCCTGTAACTTTATTGTCATCCATGCTCACATGCAATACCAACCTTAAATCATGGACCAACTGTGACTGTCACAAGCTGGAACATTAGCCTGGAGAAAATCTGAGACCA